AGGCGTGCGCCACCACCGCCCGGCTAAGAGTTTTAGATTTTGATACAGTATAAAATTGTTAAGAGGTGCTCTAGACCAGCTGAAGAAACACGTTAAACTCAGGCGACCTCCTCTCCTTTAAATAGGAGACTATAGTCTTTAGGAGCATGACTATCCTTAAAACATGATCTCTCCACGCAAGAAAGTACGGCTCTGAGGCACAGAGCCCAAAGGTATTTCTCTCCCTCAATCTCTTTTGTTCACAGAGGTCGGCAGTCAGAGACGGGTTTGAAGTCTCTTCTCCCCAGATACCCAAGATAGGAACTCACATAATTAGAATGCCTGTTCCAAAAGTGGGTAAATCTGAGTAAATGAAGGAGTCTTTGCCTAAGACAGACGCGATCATCTGTCCTGTTGCAGAAGCACAGGTTTGTTAAAATTAATAAAAAGAGGGAAGTGTGGAGGCCAAATTATGCAGGCCCATATTCCACATAGTCTGGCAGGCAGAGAATTCTGAGCAACCTACAAGGTGCAATTTGCACCTGCCACAGAGGAGGTGGTCGCCTGGCCTTTTGATAGTAAGACATCCTGACACCATCCTACCAAGTGGTCAGGTTATGAGAATGCTAACATTGTTCTGCTCCTTCTCTTGTAAATTAGGAGGTCGCCTGGGGAAGAGGTGTTTTCAGTCCAGGTGACAAAAAAGGCATGGGCAGGACATGACTTAAGTCACTCCCCTGCTACCTAGGAATTAATGCTAAGGAATTGTGTGTTACCTGCCCCCCCTCACTTCACCTTGATATAAAAGCTGTTTGGAAAATAAATGCGGGTGATTTTAGGATTATAGATTTTCAGGATTTGAATGATCCCTGAAACTCCCTCCTGATACTGTCGTGTGAACTGTGTCTCATTCACATCTCTGCACTGGCTATGAGAAATGGTTTATCTCAGGCTGGTCCTTGAAATATTATTACCAAGGGTTTACGATAATAAGGAAATGCAGGTTAGTAGTTAATCACCTAGTATAATCGAACTTGTAGTCACATTAGGTATGTTTTCAAGGGCAGACAAAGATATATTTTCGATAGACAGGTCATCTTCAAACACAGATTTACAGAATATGGCATTTAAGATGTTTGTATAACATAGGTAATTTTTTATGACAATGAGATACGTCTACTCCTGGCAGCACCAATCTACTTCAGAGAAGATAATGGGCACCGAAGAAACTCCACATGGAGTTTTCTTTGTGGCGAAAGTAAGCCATTGGTTAAGAAGATGCCCCTGTGTTGATGGCTTACAGCAAGCTGTCCTAATCGAACAAGCAGGACACAAAATATCCTGCTTCACAGAAAAGTCTGTCAGATATGCTAGGCCTATAGGCTGAAGATGGATGCCCCAACGTTGCAGAGGAACTTTGGGTGACTGTCCAGGCAGCCAGCTGTTTCTGTCATCACTCACATGTTTTGGAATTGCTTGCTTGCACTTCCTGCTTATTCAGTTAATATTATTTCCACCTTGGGCCTCTGAGGTAGCTGAAGACTAGGTAGTCATGGTAATAGTCTCCCTTGTTTACGAGACACAGAAAAGAGATTCACTAAAGAAACGTAAAAGGATGAGAGATATCAAAACAGTTTTGGATGGCAATGCAAATTGTGGTAGAAAGTCAACTAGGTACAAAATTTTGGACTCACCAAGATAGGATAGATGTGGAGTATTTTTCTCTGAAATTGTCAAATGCAAATGGACTAGATATTGTTGATGTGTTTATTGCCTCTATATATTGCATTTAGTTATTGTACATATTGTGTATAATTTTTCTTATATTAGCGTTAGTCTTTTTTATTTTAGACAACAATGGGAAGTGAAGTAGCATTTTAGTTGTATTTTATTTTTTTTTTTTAATATTTATTTATTTATTTATTATGTATACAATATTCTGTCTGTGTGTATGTCTGCAGGCCAGAAGAGGTCACCAGACCTCACTACAGATGGTTGTGAGCCACCATGTGGTTGCCGGGAATTGAACTCAGGACCTTTGGAAGAGCAGGCAGTGCTCTTAACCACTGAGCCATCTCTCCAGCCCCCTTTAGTTGTATTTTAATAAGTAAAACTTGCCTGAGGTTCAGAGAGTAAGACAGCCCCACAGGTTAGTCTAACAGACCAGGCAGTGGTAACACACACCTTTAATCCTAATAGCCATACTAGTTGCCACAGAAACTTGGCGGTGCATGCTTTTAGTCCCAGCCCCAGAGAGGATTATAAAACGGGAGGAAACAGCTCTCAGCCACAGTCTCATTCTGAGATCCTTGGAGGCAAGATGGCCATTTCAGACTGACATAGAAGTTAGAGCCAGTGGCTGGCTGCTTTGCTTTTATGATCTTCAGGATGAACCCCAATTTCTCTGAGACTTTATTAATCGTGCTTCAATTACTTTGACAAACAGATGGACACAGGCATAGGAAGTTGGGCCTCCTAGTGGAAAAACTGCAGTAACCTGGAAGTGCCATGTGTTTATGATATAGTCAAACAGGGAGGCAGGGTTATTGCATACAGTCAGGGAGGTGTGCACCTGCGAATACACACACACACACACACACACACCAGAGGGCACAGCTGCCAGCTCAGCTGAGACTTGGCCTGACTTGGAGCAAACTTTTCTTTGGGATCTTTTTTGTCCTAAATCGCCTACTCCAATCTCACCTCCTGTTTTCTTCACCCCCTTTTCTGAAGTTGTAACCCTAACTGCTATTCCCAACTGGAGTTGTGGAATAGCACATTTGTTAAGATGTATTAAGTTTACATTGCAGAATAACTGTTTAACCATGTAAAGGTGTGTGGCTTTTGTTTATGATGCATTTGTTTATCTATGTAAAGACGTGTTGCTACTTCGCCTTGCCTAAGGCACCTGACTGGTCTAATAAAAAGCTGATTGCCCAATAGGTGGACAGTAGAGACACAGGCGGGGCTGGTGGGTAGAGAGAATAAATTCATACGAGGAGGACTCTAGGCTGGAGAGAGAATGGAGAGAGGAGGGCAATGCCTGGGGCCAGGCAGCCACCAGTCACCCAGACAGAAGAAGCAGGAAATTGGGACATACAGACTGAAAGAAAGGTAAAAAGCCCGAGGCAAAATAGGTGAAGAGAACAGGTTACTAGAAGGTATAAGAGCTAGTGGAAGAAGCTTAAACTAAGGCTGAGCATTTGTAACTAGTAGTAAGTCTCCACGTCATGATTTGGGGGCTGCTGGTCCGAGAAAGTCTCAGACAGTAAGTATCCAGCCTACCTCTCCAGTAGGCCCATCTAGAGCCCAGAAAGTGTTCTACTAGTCCTAGCCATGTGGAGAGGACAGGAAGTCTTTGGTGCCTGGAGAGTTGTGAGGGGGAAATAACAGCGGTGTGAAATGTCCACACAGACTGATGTGTGGCCCCTTGTTCCCCAGCCCATGCTGATGGTTTAAGAGACTGAGGAGCCTCTTAGTGTTGGGGGCTCCCCTCGTGGAGTGGGTCAGCACTTAGCATTCCGGCTGCTGCTCCCTGGTCTGCCACCATGTTAGGAGCCTCACTGTTGTCACAACAGACCAAGACTAAAACCAGGAGCCAAGGTAAACTGCCCTCCCGTGAGCTGTGATGTTGGGTCTTCTGTCATAGAAACAAAAACAATACAGCTGTCAACCACTGTTTTTGAAACCTCCCCACGTTTATTACAGAACTAAAAATATTACTAATTATGTGTATTCCTGCAGTGAGGAGCCAAACAGCAATCTACCTGGAAGAAGGATGGATCATAAACTTTTATTGATATGGACATCTTTCCCAACACTTGATTAAATCACATTCACAATACATAAATACCACACTTTCTTGTTTAGAAAACAATCTCTGGCCGCCATCCTGATGCTGACTGAGGAGAAACATAAGCCTCTACCTGAGGCATGAGACATTATCTCCAGCACTGGACCAACATGACATATCCACAGAAATTCAGTGAACAACCTGCAAGAAACGCAGCCGTCAGCTTTTGTGGGAGGCTGACGGGTACTTCTTATTTTGTTTTTGTTTTTTTGATACAAGCTGTTATGTAGCCTAGGTTGGCTGTGGGCTCCTAATGTAGCCAAGGCTGACTCCAAACTATTTTTCTGATTGTTTATACAGTGCTGGGGATCAAACTGAACTTGGAATCTGTTTTTATCCCACCAGCTTTGATATTATTCTATTTACCAATGTACAACTAAAAGAACTAGATGTTTCCAGGAATTTTAAGACTATGTGGGCCTGGATTAGCACCTAGAAAAGAGAGAAAATGAAAGTGAGTCACTGAAATCTCCTGGACTCACGTCACTGTGAGAGACGATCCTGACTGGTTATATGTGTATGTGGAAGCCAGATCAGCCTTTAATTTAGTTCCCCTGGACAAATGCTACCGACTTTGCTTTTTGAAAATACAGTATCTCTCGTCGGCTTGGAACTCCCCAAGGAGAGTCGGATGGCTAGCCAAGGAGTGCAAGGATCCTCCTGTCTCCACTTCCTCGGGGCTGGGACTACAAGGATGCGCCAACAAGCCAGGTTTTTTAACATGGGTTCCGGGGATTAAAAACAGGGTCTCATGCTTGCAAAGCTAGCATTTCACCTACTGAGCCATTTCCTCAACCCTTTCAGGGGCACTGAATGTAATTCACCGCCTTGTGGTTGAACCTGGGGACAGCTGATTCAGCTGCTCTCTGTCTTTAGTGACAGTCGATGTGTCAAATTTGGAATATTTAATACCAGCTTAAATAAAGCATTAAAGTTTTATATTCATGCTGGAAAGATGGCTTAACAGTTAACAGCATATACTATTCCTGCAGAGAATCTGAATTTGATTCTCAGCAACTACCAAGTAGCTCACTACCAACTCCGCCTGTACCCCTAGGTCCAGTGGATCTGATGCCCTCCTTCTGACCTCCAAAGGTAACTGCATTCACACGAACATGCACACACAGAGACATACACATAATTAAAAACAAATATTTTAAAAGTTATATACTTGTCCTACTTTTATTCCAAAATTATTATACTACATATTTGTAGTAAACATTTAGGAAAATATGTTGAGAAAGGAAGAAAGCCTTTCTCAGCTGCTTGAATGCCATGATACTGTTCAAGAATGGTGTCCTGAGGAATTCCTAATTCCACAGGGGTGCTAATAGAAGAAGAGTCATCCATCCATGGTATAACCAGGTTGTAAAAAGTTCCACAGGATTAGAGAAGGTTCCCCACTGAAGGGCCTCTTTGAGGGAGACATCAAGTAGCATGATACTATATAATCAATGCAATATTCTTTGGTTATAGCCTATTAACTAACTAGCAGGAGCATAACCTCCTTGCTTACAAGAGACTGGTGATTCTTACTTAGCAGGGGCTAGCTCTGTCTCCCAGGAGACATTTAATAATGCCCAGAGTCAAGTTTATTTTTTCTTTCTTTCTTTGAGACAGGATCTCCACAGCCCAGGCTTATCTCAAACTCACTGTGTGTATAAGGATGGCCTGAACTCCTGTCCTCCTGCCTCCACCTCCCGAGTACCAGGATTATAAGCATGTGTCACCACATGAATGGAGACCATTAGCCCACAAATGTGGGGTGCTGCTGGCATCTACTAGGCACAGAAAGGAATGTTACTCACATATCCCACACTATGCACAGCAACAGAATTCTCAGGCCACTACTGTCAGTTCTGAGGTGGGAATTCTGAAAGGTTTACTTCATCTGTTGCCTACTACCTGTTGACAGTTCATTCCAACTTCCATCCAAGACTAAGTCTTTGCATCGCACAACTCAGTGATGTGTCTGAATGAGCTGTGTGGTGGTTCGTACATAAATCCCAACAATGGGAGGTTGAGGTAGGGCGATCAGAAGTTTGAGGCCAGCCTGGGTTACATAGCAACAGCCTGTCTCAAGAAACAAAACAAACAAACAAAACAACAAAAAAAGAAACCAAAGAAAAAAACAACAAAAATGCAACAACCACCACAGCAAGTGGAGAAGTTGTTGGATGATTAAGGGGGAGGATGCTACGAGCACAGTTCAAAGTCAACCGTACTAGCTAGCAACTCTGTATGTGATATGTTTGTGTGTGTGGTACACACGTGTGCACAGGTACACAGGCACATATGCGGGCATGTGGAGGCCAGAGGTCAACCTTGGGTGTCATTTCTCAGGAGCCATCTATCTACATCTGTTGTTTAGACAGCGTCTCTCAGTGGGACCTGGAACTCGATGGGTAGGTGAGGCAAAGCTTGCTAGTCAGTAAGTTCTAGGAACCTGCCTGTCACCGCCTCCCAGCAGTGCCATCGCAGGTACATGTCACCATGCTGAGCTGCTGACATGCGTGCTAGACATTGAATTCAGGTCCTCACACCGGTGTGGAAAGTGCTTACTGAGCCACCTCCCCAAGGTCCCAAAACAATACTTCATGTGACCTAAAAGTTGGTGTCACATTTCCTAATGTGTACCTGAGAGGACCTCAGAGTTAGGGCAGTTAGTGCTAATGTACTGTTAAATGTGAAAGCACAAAATATTTAGATTATTTTCAGTAGGACAAAAACAAATAAAATTGTGCTAAAGGCAAATATTCAATATATTTCATTTTCACCTAAAAAAAATCAGCATGTGAAATGCCATGCACGCAGACACCATCCCTCCCCAAGTCCTATTTTTTACATATTTACAATTTTACATATTTACTTATTAATATATCTTCTATCTTTACAATTATAAAATTACTTCACACTGGGAGAGTGTGGGAACATTAAATTCATTTCAACGTAGACTTTGTAGAATCTGTTTATCCTTTAAAAAAGGCAGTATTTGCCCAAAACAAATAACAGTGTCTACCACAGAGGAAGCCCATGGGAAAATCAGAAAGGACATAAAAGATTGAAACAGAATTCATATAAACCTACTTCACCCACTCAAATAAATAGTGCATTATTATTTACTAACTTCCCTGCTAGGAAAAAAATAAAACAATCCCTAAAACTGTACCTTAAAAATACTTTGATGTTTTAAGCAGTTAACTTGTATTCCGGACCTCAACAGTGGAACACAGCAGCTCTCTGAAATCAGCCCCAACTAAACATGGCCATGAGCAAAACGTCACCCTGCGTACACCTGAGGCTGCAGCGGGGGAGGGAGCTTGTCATTCTCCACATTCTCAGAGTCAATGGCTGCTAAGGGTTGGTTTGGAGGCTTGATCTCAAGTGGGTATTTCTCAACAATGTCTTGAACTTCCTTGGCAATTCCATCTGTCCAGTCGATTAAGTCTTTTTCAAGCTTCTTGGCTTCATTCATGATCCTTTCCTGCCGTTCATTCAGCTGAGACAGGAGGTCCAAGTTCTTATACATTTGCTTCACGCCTAAGCAGGCTTCGGGGGACCAGCTCTCAGGCTCCTGTTTCCTCGGGGAGGTCTGGCCGGACATGTATCGGTCAAAATCTTCCTGACTTAAATTCAGAGACTGGGCATCTAACTTCTCAATGAAAGCCACAGCACAGCACTGCAGAGGACAGAGAACAGCAGGGTAGTCAAGGCAGAAAGGCCGCAAGAGTTCAGAAAGATTTTTTTTTTAAACTTTATTTCATGTGAACTGGTGTGAACTGGAGTCACAGACAGCTGCAAGCTGCTGTGCGGGTGCTGGGAATTGAACCCGGGTTCTCGGGAAGAGCAGACAGTGCTCTCAACCAATAAGTCATTTCTCCAGTCCTCAGGCAGATTTTAAACTCTTTCCCTACACCAAGTATTGGGGATTGTACCCAGGGTCTCATGCATGCTAGGCAAGTACTCTGTTATAAGCTACACCCCAAGCCCTTTCTTGTGTTGTTGAGACAGTTGGTAGCCCAGGCACGCCCTAAACTCACTCTATAGCTATGAATGATCTTGAGTTTCTGATCTCCTGGATCCTCACACTCTGTTTTAGAGTCTGAGATTACGGGCTCGGGCTGCTGGGCTTGCTCTCTTTTTAAGACATGGTCTCACTATGTAACAAAAGCTGGTGATCTACTCACCTCATCCTCTCGGCTGTGGGCATGTGCTAACGTGCCCTGTTTTCTGAACACTTGATTTTCCCTTTGTTCAAGAATTTCTTTAGTCCAGTGGCATCACAGTTTCACTATTCCTGTTCCCCATCCCGTCATCTCTGTTATCTCTCCTAGCTGTCCCCCTAGGAGCATTCATAGGCCTGTGCTGTCTGCCTTCAACTTTCCCTTAGCTCCAGTTACTTAATACCTGTGAAAGACATATTCAAAACAAAACAGCTCCCATGTCTAGTGAACCTTCCTATCCCAATATCCCTATTCATGGCAGTGGCAATGCTGAATCTCCCCCAGGAAGTCAACAGCACTGGAAGCAGGGGGTTCCTCCTTGCAGCAGATCACGTGGGGCCGCAGTGATGCTGATGCCAAGCAAGCCTCAGATCTCAACTCATGAGATGACCTGCTCTGAGTAATGTGCACTTCTGGAGAAGTACAGGGAGGCAGAGGATGTACACAGGACCGAGTCACATCCCCCAGGAGTGCACTCTTACCAGGTTGGTGAAGTAGTATCCGTCCTCGCCTGTCATAAGCCGGCTGGGGTTGCAGAAGCGAGTGATGTACTGGATATTAGACTGCAGGCGAGGGGGGTTGCCCTTCAGGACGATGTAGATGAGGGTGGGAAGGAAGTCATCAGCAGAGGCCGGCTCATTCTTGGTGATCTTGATGGCGTTGAAGATGTGCTTGCTGCATCTGGTGATGCAGGCTAGCTTGTCCCTAGGCACTCGCTTTGAGTCCATCTCAATGATGTCTGTGAAGCAGAGGGACAGCACCACCATGAGGCAGTTACCACACCTGCCACCCCAGCATAGGCTGCTAAGCAGAAATATACCGTGAGACCTTGTTTTTATCTTGAGGGGGTTGGGCAGGACTGGACTAAGTATTTTTAGTCTTTCAGGATTCAGAGTTGCCTCATTACTCACCCCTCCAGCAGTTAACTTAGTATAGGAAGAACTTAGATACCCAAAGCAGTAAAGACAAATTCATATCCACAGAACACATAGCATGAACCAGGCATGCCACCTTTAAGCCATCCATCAGTGGGAATGACACAAGTTTGCCCAAGAAGCCCATGGGAAAGCACCCCTAAAAACTAGGCTTGTAGTGATAGTTTATTTTTATTATTTTATTATTTTATTGTATTTTAATAAATAAAGCTTTCTTGAAGATCAGAGTGCAAAGCTAAGCCACTAGAGGCCAGGCAGTGGTGGCACACATCTTTAATCCCAGGACTCAGGAGACAGATCTCTGTGAGTTCAAGGCTACCCCAGGCTACAGAGATAATTGAGAAACAGACCCAGGTGGTAGTGGCTCACACCTTTAGTCCCAGTATTTGGGAGTCACACACTTTTAGTCCCAGCACTAGGAAGGTGGAGACAGGAGCGATACTACTGGGCGGAGGAAGGAATATAAAGGGGAAGAGACAGGAACTCACTGGAGTGTGGAGTCTGCGGTCTGGTGGAGAGAGACACAGTACAGTCTGGGCAGTCTGAGCATTGGTAGAGGCAAAAGGTTTCTCTAGTGGCTTTCTGCTCTGCTTCTCTGTTCTTGGGCTTTAACCCTTATATCTGTCTCAGAGTTTTTACTATTCATGCTACAAAGGCTTTAAAAAAATGTTACACCATTTCTTTCTGTTTGCTTTTTTTGTTTTTATTTTTGCAACTGGGGTTTATATCTATCCCATTCTGGCCCCAAATTCCCTGTGTAGCAAGGATAACCTTGACTTGACCCTTTTAGCACTACCTCCCACGCGCTTCAGTGAAGGGTGTGCACCACCACACCCAGTTAGTGCAGTACTGGACAGAACCCCGGGCTTTGTTAACTGAACCCTATCCCCAGCTTCTTCAAACATAACGAGCCCCATTCCCAGCCTCTCCTAGATACCTTTAAACTCAGTTTAGAACACCTTGGCTGTGCACATTGCTTTTCAGGGATATGGCTACCAACAAACTATTTCTTAGACAAAGAAGTCAGAAGAGTGGCCTTAAGTAGGTTAGAGTAGTAGCCATTGTAATATGTAGTTGTATTTGACTTTAGTTAGGTCAATGATCAAATAATGGACTTTGGGCCAGCAATATTGGTTGGTATGTAAAAGAACTTGGCAGTTACTCCTGACAACCTGAGTTTGATCCCTGTGGCACACATTGTGGAAGGGGAGAACTGCCCACAAATTGTGCTCTGTCCTTACACTCAAGATGTGGTATGCTGTCCCATATAAATAAACAAACGAATAGATAAGTCATGCTACTTAAAAAAAAATTATCAAAATCATGGGCTGTAGAGATGGCTCAGCAGTTAAGAGCCCTGGCTGCTCTTCCAAAGGACCCGGGTTCAATTCCCAGCATCCACATGGCAGCTCACAACTGTCTGTGACTTCAGTCACACAGACATACATGCAGGCAAAACGCCAATGAACATAAAGTAAAAATAAATAAATCATTTTTTAAACATCAAAAGCAGTTCAAGTAAAAAAGAGAACACTTGGTCACAAAACAAGAAGGGGAAAGAAGTTTACTTGCTGTAGTGTGTAGTACCCAGCCTGGTCTTCCATAGCAAGTTCCAGGCTAGCCAGGGTTATATGAGATTCTGTCTTAAATGAATGAACAGCAGTAAGAAAGAAAGAGGGAGAGAAGAGAGAGAATGATAGATTTCAAGGGCGTTCCTATGGTTACTGCTGCAGCACCATGCTCATCTACGGCGAGGCTCACTCACCTGTGATGGCTTTCACCACCATGTCAGACACTTCAGGGATTTCCTCATTGACAGGGACACAGAGCATCTGAGGTGTCACCCAGTGTAGAGCCCTGCAAAGAGAGGAGTGGTCAGGAAAGTCCAAGAACAGAAGGCAGGCTCTAATCTTGTGTAAAAGGAGGTGAGATCTACCCTAAATTTCAGTGGTGCCATCCATGGGCTGAGGACTCGAGCTGAAGAAAAGAGCATGGTGGGAATGCCTGTAATTAATTTCTTGGGAGGCAGAAGCAAGAAGAACAGGCGATTAAGGCTAGCCTCAGTTACATGAGACTCTATATCAAAAGGGGGGGGGCACTGGAGGGATGGCTCAGAGGTTAAGAGCAATGTCTACGCTTGCAGAAGACCTGGGTTCAGTCCTAAGCATTCATATGGAGGCTCACAACCATTTGTAACTCCAGATTCAGGGATCCAATGCTTCTTCTGACCTGCATGGGTTCCTGTGCGTACATGGCACACCTAAGATACACTCAAGCACACACATACACACATAAAGTATGTTTTTAAAGGAGGCAGAGAGAAGGGGTTTCCATCAGGAGTCATAAGGAGCCCCAGCTGTATGTTACTGCCACAGGCCTGCCTGCCTTCCCCACCATGAGGGGCTATACCCTCCTAAACCACAAGCCAAATAATTCCTTCTTTTCAGCTGTCTCTAGCAGGCATCCCCAACAATGCACAAGTAACCAACTAAACCAGGTGATTGGCTAGTAAGTAAGTGTTCCACTGCTGCAGAACTGCAGAGCCTGGGTCACTCCATGATTCCCTAAGAATGGGTCAGTAATCACCAGTTTCAGACTGGCAAAGATGTGCCTGCAGGGCTGCCTGGAAAATGTAACCCAACAGGGTGGGAAGGAGGAGAAATAACATCCATTGCCTTGAGACAGGCAGTCACAGCTTCCCTCCCGATGAGGAAAAAACAAAACAAAACAAAACAAGAAATCAAGTCCTTATGTTCCTTGAAAATGTTAGAGATCTAAACAATCTCAACTATCCAACATGGGTCCCATCTGCAGCCAGCTGAGTCAGACAGAAAAGCAGGTACCATGAGCCTGGCTGAGAAGCTCACACACTGCACTGCTCAAGGTTGGACGCTCACACGCACTACTGCCCACATGCTATCATTCCATTCTAGAAAGCAGATAAAAGACAGGCATGCCAGCCACCTGATCCTCTTTTGAATGGCAAGATCTTTCTTCTCATCATCAGTAGTCTCTGGGCAGAACACGAATTTATAGAGACGAGTCATGATGTGCTTTTCGATCTGATCCATTATCTTCTCCACTTTCTCTGGAGGCACTGGAATACACAGATGGGTAGAACAGCTCAGAAAAGGTTTTTATAGTATTTTCCACACAGAAAAAAAAATAATTTACTATAAACACACCCAGTAAAGAAATTACAAATATGACATTAAAAATCCCCTTTAAATATTGACAACTTTTTTGGGCTTAGGATATGGTCCAATTGATAGAGAGCTTGCCTAGCATGCAGGAAGCCATGGGTTCCACCCCCAGCACTGCATAAACCAGGAATGGTCTAGACATATATAAACCTCTCAAGTACTTGGGAAGTAGAGGCAGGAGGATCAGAATTACAAGGTCATCCTTGGTTATAACCAAGTTAGAAGCCAGCCTGAACTATGTGAAACTCTGTCTCAAAACAACAACAACAAAATTACAACTTTTTAAACTGCATCTTACAGAATTCCCACCTATTTGTTAAACTTTCTCTGGGATCTATCAGGTATATGCCCTACCAAGTAGGAAGACTTTCTGTAGGTCCCTCTCGATTGCTACATTGCTAAAACACTTGGAATTCCCAAGGCTGCCAAGTGCTGACAAATTCCCATTCTTCTGAGCTTTCCCATACCCACCATGTTCTCCCTGAAGCACATACATAGCCATCATGCATATGTGAAATGTATCCTAAAGTACAGTATTAATGAAAGGCCAGGCCCAGAGAATCGCCACAAACCCAAAGGTCTAAGATGGTCTCAATTTTTTTCTGCCTCAACTCCCTTAGGATTACGTCATCGTGAACTCATTGAAATGGCAATTCCAAGGTGGGAAATTCATACAGAAAATTTCCTGAGCACTGTTGATCTTCCTCACTTTACCCATAATATGGGTATTATAGCACTCAAAATACCACTCAACTGTCCTGGTCATACATAGGAAGTAAGACATTCAAGGGTGTAGTGAGCTATGAAGCAGCTGTCAGACACCAGCCAGGCCAATCAGGGGAGCCGAGGACAGCTACCTTGAGCTGGCTGACAACACCATATGGTGACAGCACCATAACAGCTGGCTGACAACACATACCTTTTCCACGAGTCTGCATTCTTTCGGCCACATTCTGGTAAAAGTCCTGAGTACACTCTGACTGCTCCTCGATGCTTAAGTCCTGGAATCAACAGTCAAGAGAATAGTGAGCAGCTGAAAAGTTTCAGGACACTAAATTTTATCAAGTTTCTAAAACACACTCCTTACATTGAGCCAATCCTAAAAACACTTACAAATTACACACATTCTACAAGAAAAAAATCCCCTGTTCATGATTTTTACATTTCACTATATGTACATAAAATTTGTGCACACTGCATTTATTTCATTTACATCATCACCTTCCTTATATATTATTACTATTGTTGTTGTTCAGGGTCTTGCTGTCTAGACTTTAAAAAAAAATTTATGTATTTATTATGCATACGTGTTTTGTCTGCATGTATGCCTGCAGGCCAGAAGAGGGCACCAGATCTCATTACAGATGGTTGTGAGCCACCATGTGGTTGCTAGGATTTAAACTCATGACCTCTGGAAGAGCAGCCAAGTGCTCTTAACCTCTGAGCCATCTTTCCAGCCCCCACATTTCCATTTTTCAAATTTATTTTGGGGTGCTGAAGAGAGGGCTCACTAGGTAAAGCCCATGCTGCCCTAGCAGAGGACTCAAGTTTGGTTCCCGATACTACCCATCAGGCAGTTCATCACTGCTGCCCTATAACTTCAGCTTCTCTTTCAGACTCTGGGCAACACACTCATGTGCACATACCCACCCACCCACACACAATTAAAATAAAATCTTTTCAAGCAAAAGAATTTTTAACTGTGTGTGTGTGTGTGTGTGTGTGTGTGTGTGTGTGTGCAGTGTCAGCAGAGGCCAAAGAGGACATTGGACCTGTTGGACCCTGTGGAGCTAGTTACAGATGGAGTTCCTAACCCTGACGCAGGTGTTAGGAACTGAACTCGGGTCCTCTGGAAAAGCAGTACACTCTCTTAACCTCTGAGCCATCCCCCAGATCCAGGAGAGGCCCAGTACTAATCAAGTGTTTTTCTCAGTTGCTTTCTAGGAACTACAAATTCATGGGCACTGTGATATTTCTATCCAAGGTGCAGTGAACAGATCGCGGCACCTAGCATGCGATCCTAGACTTGTCAGTGTGCTGTGCCAGGAACATTCCAATTCCTTTCCCCTCGTTATTTAGAAATACACCGTTGATTGTCAACAACCACAGTTTTCTACTGTGCTGAAGAACATTAAAGAGGCTGAAGAAGGTCATTCAGAGGTTAAGAGCACCTGCTGCTCTTCCAGAGGACCAGAACTAAGTTCTAGCATCCACATTAGACGACTCACTCACAACAGCCTGTAGCTATAGCTCCTGAGCTCCCACACCCTCTGCTGACCTCTTTGGGCTGCTTGCAAAGTACACATACTGACATGCAGACACACACATACATACATACAAATAAAAATACCCCCCCCCCAAAAGAACATTGGAGGTTTCAGCTAAGTGCACCTTGTACCTGTTCTCCTTTGCTCACCCCTCTGCCTTGCTGCCCTGTTCTGCACTCTACTTCTACAATATGGACTTTTTCAGCTTCTGCTTATAAGTGAGAACACACTGCTTCTAATTTTAAAACTAAGTCTGTACTACTTCCTCCCAACTTCCTCAAGAATTAGAGCTTGTGCTGATGAGTCTTTCTTTAAACATACCCCTCTGGTTTCCCACAGTGACCAGGAATGGCAAACTACTGTTTGGATTAGAACACTGACATGGGTGTTGGCAATGTGGCTTTGTGAGTAGAGAGCTCAACTAGAATGCAAAAGGTCCTGGGATTGATTCCCAGCACAGGGCACACCAGGAGCAAACACAGGAGGGATGTCATCTTTCCATTTACTCTGTGAAAGTGTAAGTGAATGAAGATGCAGCCCCACTTTAAACTATAATCTCTTCATTAAACGGAAAAACACCTTTTCCGTAAACATTAATACCAAGCAAACTAATCAATACAAACTAATCAGTAGCAATTATTTTGTTTTGTTTTTGTGAGACAGGATCTCTCTACATAGCCCAGGCTGTCCTGGAACTTCCTATGTATACCAGGCTGTCCTCAAATTCAAGTGATCCACCTGCCTCTCCCTTCCAAGTGCTGGGATTGAAGGTGTACATCACCTTGCCTGGCCATAGCAAATTTTAATAGCAAGACTGTTATCATAATGAAATGGCTAAAAGGTCCTATGTTATGCTTGATTACTTCCTTAGTAAGAAAAGTGAGGTTACACAGTAGCTGCGCATACAGAAATTGGGTTTTATTTATTTATTTATTTATTTTGTTTTTCGAGATAGGGTCTCTCTGTGGCTTGGGAGCCTGTCCTGGAACTAGCTCTGTAGACCAGGCTGGTCTCGAACTCACAGAGATCCGCCTGCCTCTGCCTCCCGAGTGCTGGGATTAAAGGCGTGTGCCACCATTGCCTGGCCTGGGTTTTATTTTTAAAGATTTATTTTTATGAAGCTTTGTCTACAAATACGTATTGTAGCACATGCATGCGTGGTGCCCCAGAAGCCAGAAGAGGGTGTCAGGTCTGCTGACAGTGCTGAAACTGAGCCTGGTCGACAAGAGCAGTAAGTGCTCCCTCCGAACCAGGGAGCTGGCTCTCCAGCCCTAGGGAATTGTGTCTTTAAAACCTGGATTAAGCGTCTAGAGAGACGGCTCAGTGGTCAGGGCACTGGCTGCTCTTAAAGAGGACCTGGGTTCAGTTACCATCCCCCACATGGCAGCTCCCAGTCATCTGTAATTCTAGCTCTAATGCTCTCTTCTCATCTCTGTTAACACAGGGCAATCAAGTGGTGCATAGTCCTACATGCAGCCATTGCGCGCGCGCACACACACACACACACACACACACACTAAAAACTTTAAATTAAGAAAAATAAAAAAAACCTGAACTGAGCAATGAGGTGGAGGTAATGCAGGCTACGCGAGACCCTGCTCAAAGAGCAGAGATGGAAACAAGCAAGCAGAGGAAAAACCTCGAATGAGAAACTCAGAAAATAAGCACAATTTCAAAAAGATATTTGGGTTTTACTGCACTATTCAACAGACTAAAAGGCAATGTACACTGAGGATGTAGAGGGCAGGCTGTTCTTTCAGGATAGGCAGAAAGTAAGGACCTATTTTTAACTTTTTTTTTTTCAAGACAGGGTTTCTCTGTGTAGTCTTGGCTGTTGAGGAACTCGCTCTGTAGATCAGGATGGCCTCGAACTCAGAGATCCACCTGCCCCTGGCTCCCGAGCTGCTCCACACCTCACAGTACAGTTCAGGCCATCCTCTAACTCACTCCACCTGTCTTTTAAGTGCCGAGATTAAAGTCATATGACACTATACCCAGCTTGATTTTGGGTTTTGAGACAGGCTCTCATTGTTTTGTCCAAGCCAGTCTCAGATTTGTGGGCTCAAGTAGCCCTCCCACCTGGGCCTCCCAAGTGCTGCAGGTACAGGCTTACACTAACACGCCCAGCCTAATAACATGTTCTCATATGGACAGACTTGAAGAAAACAATTCCTCACCACGTCATGGACCACATAAAATCAGGTTACACGGTTTTCTAGTTAGGAATGGGAAAGATTAGTGTCTCTTTGTATCTCCCATGCCTTTTCTCTTTCTTTTTGAGATGAGGTCTCACTGTGTAGCTCTCACTAGCTTGGAACTTTACATAGACCAGGCTGGCCTATAACTCAGAGATACAACCCATCTGCCTCTGCCTCTTGAGTGCAGAGATTAAAGGTATACACCACAATGCCCAACTTTTCACCATACTTTAAAATTACTGTTGAAGGACTGGAGGGACGGCTCAGCAGTTAAGAGCTGTTGCTGCTTTTCCAGGGGACCCAGTTTTGACTCCCAGCACCCATATGGCAGATCACAATTGTCTCCAACCCCAGTTCCAGAGGATCCAATGCCCTCCTCTGACATCAGTGGGCCCTGCATGAAATAGGTACACAAATATGCATGTAGGCAAAATACCTATAAAGTAATAAAGCACAACAAAGAAAGCTATAGATCCTATACTGCACGGGTGACCACAAACACCCTGAACCCACAGTCATTGTTTTACCCAATTAAAGCTTGAGTCTCACAGTAAGACTATTTTTCTTAATATTTTATTTTTAATTATGTGTACAAATGCATTTGTGGAGGGGGATGTGCATGAGCACAGAGCTCGCAGAGGCCAGAAGAGAGCAATAGGTCCTCTGGAGCTAGAGTTACCAGCAATTGTGAACACCCCAACAAGGACGTTGTGAACTGAACTTCTGGTCCTCAGAAAGTGCAGGACCAGCATACTCTTGATCAATGAGTCATCTGAGATAGTCTTTTCTACTAAGACTGTTCTACTCAAGTAATGTTATACAACTAAGAAGCACAAAGAAGTCAGGTGGTGGTGACACACACCTTTAATCCTGGTAGGAGTCAGAGGAAGGTGAACCTCTGTGAGTTCGAGGTCAGTCTGATTTACATAGTGAGTTCCAGGACAGCCACGGCTACACAGAAAACCCTGTTTTGAAAAACCAAAACTAAAGACAAAACAAAACAAAACAAAAAAGGATAAAGAAACCAAGCATAGTAAATTCTAGCTTCCTTTGTAACTCTCCTCCATTGACTTTCCATTTGCTTTTTTTTTCCCCCTTTATTTAGGTGCTGGAGGCTGAACTCAAAACTTTGTCAACTGAGCCATATCCATGGCCTCTTCTCCACTTTCTGTGGGGGTGAGTTGGTTTTTGTTTTTTTTTTTTATGTAAATCCCGGTCTCCAGCCTCCATCTTTGGAGACCCCGTCCCTGTGCTCCTTGACCCTCCCCCCAGGAGGGTCAAGGTTCCCCCCAGGAGGGTCAAGGTAGCCCACCAAACTTTGAGCCCTCCCCAGAAAAGGTAAAGACTACTCCCCCAGGCTATTTAGACTGCTCCCCCCCCCAAATAAACATGTGGTCCCTGTGTGCCCCCCATCATCCCTTCCTCCCCGTGGTCGCGTTGGTGGCTTTCTGGTTCCCCTAGGGGCCACCCAAGAGTGCAGGAGTCCAATTAAACCTGGGTATCTTTTAATTTGGTTTGATTAGGCATGATTGGGATTTTTGTGTAAGCAGAGAGCTATGTTAGGAAATATTCTTAACAATTTCCTTTTTTTTTTTTTTTTTTTTTTTAAAGACAGAGTTTCTGAAACTCACTATGTAGACCTCAAACTCAGAGATCTGTCAATGTCTACTTCCCGAGGGCTGGAATTAAAGGTGTGTACCACCATGCCTGGCAGACCTTCTCCAATTTCTTTCCACAGCACTGGGAATGTGTGCTAGGCAAGCTCTCTGCCACTGAGATATACTCCCAGACTATCTCCTTTGTTTTCTTAATTTTAAAACATTTTTGTGGCTGGTTTTTTGAGACAGAGTTTCAGGCTTACTAGGAACTCACTATGTAGTTCAGGCAGGCTTTAAACTTGGTGATTCTCTAGCTTAGACCTCCCAAGTGTTGAAGATTACAGAAGTGATTCATGCAAGAATGCTGTGTTAATTATGAGCCTGCTTTCCTCATTGCAATAGAAACATATCATTCTAAAGACTATGAAGAGGTTCGATAATATGTATTAAATCAGATAGCTAATAACAGAGTTAGATGTGGTGGGACACAGTTACAACCTCAGTATTCAGGGGATTACAAATTTAAGGCCAGTGTGAACTACATAGCAAGACCCTGCCTCAAATGAAAGAGAACCCAGTAGGTACTAATACGTTAAAAAGAAAAGGGGGAAGCCGGGCGGTGGTGGCTCACGCCTTTAATCCCAGCACTCGGGAGGCAGAGGCAGGCGGATCTCTGTGAGTTCGAGGCCAGCCTGGTCTACAAGAGCTAGTTCCAGGACAGGAACCAAAAGCTACGGAGAAACCCTGTCTCAAAAAATCAAAAAAAAAAAAAAAAAAAAAAAAAAGAAAAGGGGGAGCCAGAGAGATGGCTCAGGTTAAGAGCACTGGTTGCCCTTCCAGAAGTCCTGAGTTCAATTCCCAGCAACCACATGGCGGCTCACAACCATCTGTAATGAGATCTGGAACCTTCATCTGGCCTGCAGGCATACATGCAGACAAAACACTGTATACATAATAAATAAATCTTTTTTTTTTTTTTTAAAGAGGGGTTGCTGGAAAAATGGCTCTGAAGTTAAAAGGTACTTGCTGCTCTTGCAGAGGATTTTAATTCTGTTCCTAGCACCCACATGGCAGCTCACAACTGCCTATAACTCATGCACCAAGGGATTCAATGCCCTCTCCTGGTCTTGTGCAAATACCCACATAAAGAAAATTAAATCTTAAAGGAGAAAAAAAGAATGACTCTCTAAGAGCCCCCCCCCCAAACACACACTAGGGTGTGTCTTTCTCCTGAAGAGCCCCTCAACCCTTGAGCTTAAAATCTATTTCAAAATATTTCAAATAAACTAATTCTGCTTTTTAAAATGGAGGTAAAATAAAAAGACTTCAGAAAAATATTAGCAAAAATTGTTGGCCGGTAAGGTATTACCATATAATACTGTAGTGAAATATGTAGGTGCTGAAATTTTAATCAAAAGGGATAGTGTTTAGGGATGTTTTTAAAAGTCTAAATGCAGATTAAGTATTTCCTAACAAAGATCAAATGTCTGGGAAAGACATTTAATGCAATTCTGAAAACAACTGTCTAATCAGAACAGGTTGTGCAACCCTGGCGTAAAGCAGGACTGGAGGAAACAGGAATGATGCAGAGCCAGACAAAAGCAAGAGTGCGCCATTGTTCTACACCAGCAGTTTGGGAGAATCTGTACAGTGGGACAGAAACAAAGATCGACTTATATCAATGGTCAGTGGGGCTGTTTCTACAGATAAGAGTTATTTTTCATGCTGAGGAGGCCCTTAGAGCAGTATCAAGAAAGTTTAAATTGGGCTGGAGAGATGGCTCAGTGGTTAAGAGCATTGCCTGTTCTTCCAAAGGTCCTGAGTTCAATTCCCAGCAACCACATGGTGGCTCACAACCATCTATAATGAGATCTGGTGCTCTCTTCTGGCATACAAACATACATGGAAGGAATGTTGTATACATAATAAATAAATAAATATTTAAAAAAAAAGGAAAGTTTAAATTGGGTAAAGGTTTGTGAGCACATTTGAAAAACTCAATACAGAATGCACCTTAATCTACAGTACATTTCAAAATCTCCAGGAACTGTTCCCTACGTTATACTTAATAAATTTATCTAATTAGTGTCTTAAAGCTAGAGTATGTGAGTTCAGGCATAAACAACAAGTTTTATGACTTGGAGTCAAAGGCCGGTAGGGATTCCTTCAAGCCCCTGGTATTAGATAAAGGTACTTGTTCCCAAGTCTGGAGGTCTAAGTTTAATCCCTGGAACCCACATGGTGGAAGGAAAGAACAGCTGCCCACTGGCCTCCATACATGCATGCCTATATACAAGCATACAGATAAATAAATAATAAATAAATGTACATAAAAAATAAATCCATAAAAATGTATCAGGTATGTGGTCCATCATCCTAGACACCAAAGATACCCAGGACGCATGCGTAAGACTGGGACCCTTATCACAAACAGTTGGCGCTAGTGTAAAACGGAAATTTAGTTACACAGTGGTTTTTAAAACAGGAGGAATGAGTCTTATCATGGTCTCCAGTGTCAATTAGTGGTGCCCTGAACACACAGCACGGTGGCATCTCTAATAGCTGCTTACTTTTTTTTTTTTTAATGTATTTACTTATTTGAGACAGGGTCTCACTGTGCATCCCTGGCTGGAGCTCACTAGGTAGACCACACTAGCCTGTCTCTTCCTCCAGGATGCTGATATTGAAGGCATGCATCACCACATCAGGGTTGCCTCTTTATTTTCATATTTACTAAATGGTTAATTAAATGAATACAGAACACGGGTACATTATACTTCTCATAAGAAAAACAAATCCAGCTGAGCAGTGTTTCTGTAAATACAATATAATCTACGGCATATATTCTGTACATACTGCAGCATAAATGCAAAGTTAGTAGAAACCATTCCAGCCCAACAACAAAAAACCCTCAGACTTCGCTTTTTCAACATTAAACAAGCCTATCATTGCTTCCCTCCCTTCTCCCACACTCAAGTCTCACCGGTGGTAGCTTGCCTTAACTTTAAATGTCACTGTTTCTTCACAAATACTTAAAAGAAGAAACAGTTGCCTGCTAACATGGGGTCACAACACCCCTGAAGAGCAAGAAGGAAAGCTTCCCTTTGGAGAACTGAATCTTAGGAACACTGAGAAATGTAGGACACAGATCCACACTTCTGAGGCTAGATGTGTCTAACCAAAGGGCAGTTAAGCAACTCTGCTTCCTGATTACCATTCCCTTCTATGTAAGCTCTCTTCACCACACAGAAGACCTACATTGCTGTGGGACAATGGTCTATACCCTGTCAGTTGTATTTTAAATAAACACTGATTGGACAGTAGCCAGGCAGGAAGTAGAGGTGGGGCAATGAGAACAGGAGAATTCTGGAAAGAGAAAGAGTCGATCTGCAGATGTCACTCAGACACAGAGCAAGCAAGATGTGACTGCCTCGCCAAAAAAAGTTCCAAGCCACATGGCTAACACAGACAAGAATTATGGGCTAATACAAGCTATAAGAGTTAATAAGAAGCATGAGCTACCTGGCCAACCAGTTTCTGACTAATGTAGACCTCTGTGTATTTCTTTGGGACTAAACAACTGTGGGACTGGGTAGGACAGAAACCTCTGTCAACACTACATGAGTTTAATGCTGCAGAAGATGAAAATACTTCATCTTTATTTACAAAATGAATTCTTTCGCAATTAGTCTTATGAATTATGGAAACTGAAATTACTGATAAATTCTAGACTAAGACACAGGTGTGAATGAGCATGGTGGCACACAGTACCTACAAATGTCAGCAGCATTCCAGAGGCTGAGGAAGGGGGATCGAGTTCAGTCTCAGACATGTGGCAAGTCTGAAGTGGACACAGACTACAAACATTGAGACCACACCTCAAAAATCCACAAAACAACCGCCCTACCAGGCATTGTGGTATGTTCCTATAATTCCAGCACTGAGGCAGGAGGTAGGGAGCTAAAGTCTAGCCCGGGCTACACAGTGCCATGCATGTAGAAAACTGAGCTGTAGCCAAGCACTGGTGAGAACCCTAACGAGTGAGCAGACAGCTCACTCATTCTCTTTGGTTTCATACATCCTGCATCTACAAAGCAAAGGGACTGAAACTGTAGCCACCAAGCTGACAGCTGCAGCTTTCAATGTCTACACTTTATCGGTTTTTTCCTCTAAATGAACATGGAGAAGAACATTAAAAACCTAAATATGCACCAGGCATGGCAGTGCACACCTTTAACCCTGGGAGGCAGAGGCAGGCAGATCTCTGTGAGTTCAAGCTCAACCTGGTATATATAGTGAGTTCCAGGCCAGCCAGGGCTATACTGTGAGACCCTGTCTCAATCAGGGAATACAAGGTGGAAAAAGGAATGATTCAAACACAAAAAGTAAAACAAGTAATAACAAAATCTATTTCATTCTACTGGCCGCAGAGTTGAGCTAAAGGTCCATGGAGGCAGGCTACTCCATTACAAGGTAACTCTCTAACTTCAGAAGTCCCACAGAGATCACCAGAGCATGGTGGAAAAGTACTAGCCAGGGAGTCAGGTGTTAGTTGAGCTAAAAGGCTTGTCTTAGGTAAATATCACCTTCTTGTTGTCAGGTGTAAAATGACAAGATTACAGTTATCTCTAACCCTCCCTAAAACCACAGCTCTTATTTCCAAGGGGTTAGTCTCAGCCTACCCTTTTGTAATGCATTGCTTCCAAAAACATCTTCGTCTGTTTATAGACTTCTTGCCCTGTCTTGTGGAAGGTCTTGAGAAAGTCTATGAACTCTTTAGTCACTCGATCCGTCTCAATGCTGGTTTGCCGGTTTATGGAGGGACTGGGAGCTTTGGCTTCCTGAATTTCTGCTGAGAAAATTAAACACAGTAAGTTTGTTACCCAGAAAACTGATGTATGGAATTACTCTATGTAGTTAACAAGATTACTGAAATTATGTTTAATTAAAGTTAAATTTATATCATTTTATATTTAAACATTTGGATGAGTGTCCTTAAAGTATGGAAAATTTGAAAGTATAAGCAGATAAAAACTACACGAGCTGAAACATTCAGCTGGACTGGAAATGTGGCTCAGGTGGTAGAGTGCTTGCCGTGCATGTAAAAATCCCTGGGTTCCAGCCCAGCAATGCATAAACTAAGCATGGTGGCACACAACTATAATCCTTGGGAAGTTGAGGCAGGAGGATCCAGGTCAGTTTAAGGTCATCCTCAGTTACCTAGTGAGTTTGAGGTCAGTCTGGGCTTCATAAGACCCTGTCTCAAAAAAACTTAACTGCAGGATGGCCAGATGGATCAGCAGGCAAAAGAGCTGGATGTACAAGTCTGGTGACTGAATCAATCTTCAAGACACACAGAGTGGAAGCAGAGAATGACTCCTGATTGTAAGAAGTGAATTAAGGCATAACTATTCTTAAAAGTACAAATATAGGGACGGGCATGGTGGCAACAACCTTTAATCAAGGCAGAGGCAGGCGAATCTAAATTGAGGCCAGCCTGGTCTACATAGTGAGTGCCAGGCCAGCCAGAGCTACAAAGTGAGATCCAGAAAATAAATAATCAAATATTAAAAGCAAATCAAGTAATAACAAAAACTCTCAAATTTGTGCTACCAGTCTAATGTGTTAAAGGGAGTTACAGGTGTAGGAAGGCAGGATACTGATAGAAGGTAACAGGCGAAGGGGGCCTGTGCTCCCTGAAGTCGGAAGTTCCACAGAGATGACCTCTGAGTGCAGTGGAAAAAATAATAGCACACCCGGCCCCAACATAATAAAACGTAAAAAATAAAAACCAAATACCCATGGGCCAGTAAGATGGCTCAAAAGGGAAAAGAGTTTGCCACACAGGCCTAGAGATGTGTTTTATCTCCAGAACCCATATAAAGTAAAAGTAAAAAACTCCACATGTGGTAATATTATATCCACAGGCGAATAGACATACACCCAACTCATACATTTTTAATTTTTTAAACAAACAGAAAACAAATAAAAAAATACTCAATAGAAGCTGCTCCTTAGCATTCTTTTAGCCAAAATACACAATGCATTAAGCTGTATCATTAATCACCAATACTGAATTGGTACCCTTTTTTGAACAACTTTCTTGATGATCACCTAAAAATTACCAAAGTAACCATCAATGGGAGTACAAAGGCATCAGGTAACACAAAGCATTAGAGAACTTCCAAATCACACTTCACCTGCCAAACAGACAAAGGCCAATTTATTTCCCCACCATTCAGCTTACAAGTCACACTGCTCATAGTAAAAAGGCATCCAAGCTGGGTGCAATAACACATGCCTGTAATTCTAGCACTTTGAGGCAGGAGGATCAAGTCCTAGGTCAGGCTAGATTACACAATATATGTGATACCAGATTATGCTTTATAGCAACATTCTACCACTCTCTCTCACACACATCCCCCAATAGACACTGAGTAAAAGGTTTTGTTTATATTTTCCTTTCGAAACAGGATCCTTCTGCGTTGGCTTCCTAAATGCTAGAACTACAAGTGTGGACCACCACATCCCACAAGAAAAAGAAACTGAAAGGCATTAAAATCGACCAACTTCACACTATTATTTTATTGGTCTTTTTATGAGACAGGGTCTCACTATATAGCCCTTGCTGGGCAGTGGTTAACAGGGAAGATGGGCACTTCAAGAATGACAAATACACAAATTAAAACCACAAGAAGATGCCATTCAAAAAGGTAACTTGCTGGGTATATACCTTTAATTCCTATACTTGAGAGGCACAGGCAGGTGGGTCTCTGTAAGTTCAAGGTCAGCCTAGTCTACGCAGCTAGTTTCAGGACTACACAGGGTGGAAAAGAGGGTAAGAGTGGGGAGGGGAGGGAAGAGAGGGTAGGGGAAGAGAGAGGAAGGAAGGGGAGGGAAGGGGAGAGTAAGAAAGGAAAGGGTAAGGAAGGAAGAAGGAAGGAAGGAAGGAGAGAAAGAAAGGAAAGGAAGAGAGAGGGGAAGGAGAAAAAGAAAAAAGTTAACTTAATGATTTAGTAACAAAATAATAATCAAAATTATAAAAATCTATGGTAGTTTGAATAAGGTGGTCCCTATAGGCTCATATATATGCATACTTAGTTCCCAGTTGGTAAACTGTTTAAGCAGGATTAGAAGAATTAGAAGGTGTGGTCTTGTTGGAGTGAGCCACTAGGGGTGGGCTTTGAGTCTCCAAAAGCCCATGCCATGCCCAGTGGCTCTCTGCCTGCTGCCTGTAGATCAGGATGTAAAGTTCTCAGTTATTGCTCTAGCACCATGTCTGCCTGTGTGCCACCATGTTCCCCACCATGAGGAAAATGGACTAATAATAGCCTCTGAACTATAAGCAAGCCCATAATGAACTGTTTTCCTTTTTTAAGAGTTGTTTTGGTCATGGTGCCTCTTCACAGGAATAGAAACCCTAACTAAGACAAAATCTGAAATTTGATCTTGACAAGAATATAACAGTCGCTAACACTGTGCAGATGGGATACAAGTGACAGAACTTTAAAAGGAGACCGTTTAGGAATAACTACCAAAGTTAAAACCCACATGTCCTGCTGGGCATGGAAGCTGCACAGCAATCCCAACACTCAGGAGGCTGAGGCAAGAGAAATGTGGATTCCAGGCCAGGCTGGGCTACAAAGTGAGATCCCATGTCACAACAACAATAAAGAGGCTAAATTGAGACACTAAGGATAGGAATAAGATACAGTCAAAGAATCAAAAAGAAGTTCCTCCCAACTAACAAGACGGACATTATACTATGAAAAGTCAACTCTCCAAGACACAACAGTCCTAAATACATAATTAACAACACAGCTTTAAAATGCACAAGGGACCTGGGGGGGGGGTGGCGCACGCCTTTAATCCCAGCACTCGGGAGGCAGAGGCAGGCGGATCTCTGTGAGTTTGAGACCAGTCTGGTCTACAAGAGCTAGTTCCAGGACAAGCTCCAAAACCACAGAGAAACCCTGTCTCGAAAAACCCCCCAAAAAAAAGCACAAGGGAAAAACAGAAATGTAAGGAGTGAGAAACAAATCACAACTGGAGAGTTCAATCCTCCACTGACAAGACAGGAGGTAAGACAGTAAGACACAATACTTAGGCTGGCAGGATGGCTCAGCAGAGTTCACACATGAAAGGAGAAAAATAACTCTCATACATTGTATCTGACCATCCCATACTCATTCACACTCTTCCTACGTATATGTATATATGTGTGTAATAAAACACTTTCTTAAAATCCCACAATATTGTGCAATACTGTGGATACACAAGCCCAAACTAAAATTTATAGAATGATCTACAACAGAAACACAACATTTCTTCCATGTGACAAGATAATAATGGCAATGACTTATTGTGAGTACTACCGCATGCTGAGCGCTTCTACAAGACCGCTGTGCAACCCTCACATACACCAGACCGTATCCCTACAACTGACAACTGAAGTAGCCAAGGCTTGAAGGTCTTTAGAAACTGAACTTCAGCTGCTTCTGTGGTTAAGGGCAGAACTGAACTAGGGTCTGACTTCTGAGCAGATGTTTCCCTATATTCCCTGGACCTCAGAGGTCCAAGAGGACCCTCCAGAGAATGCCAAGCCCTCAGACTGAAAAGCTTCAGGGACTGAAAGCTTCGGGGTTAAAAGCAGGGAAAGCCCAGTTATCTCCTTCACTGTTTCACTTCTGTACATTCCTCTCCAACAAATACTTCTGACTAAACAAAGAGCGGAAAAGTCCTCAGCTGAGCAGCCCTCAGCACTTTCAAGGTTGAAGCAGGAGGTTTGTTAGGAGTTCAAGGACACCCTGGACCACAAAGTGAGATCTTGTCTAAAAAATCCAGCCTACCCCAAATTCCCCTTTAAAACGTAAGCAGAGGGGGTTGGAGTAGAGCTCAGCACTAAAAAAGATAGGGTTGGCTCTATCAGTACTCTCCAGACAACACAAAAAGCTTTCAAGAAAACAAGAAGGGAGATGGAAAAGAACAATCTAGTCATGCTACAGCTAGAACTGTAGGGACCAAGCAGCCAGAGTTTACACATTTACTTATATTCATTTTGAGTTTCTCAAATAGAAACACAATTTGCGGTTCAAGTCCATCCAGTCAAACAGGATTCTCAAGCTGTCTATCACCCAGCTAAACAGTATACAAGGCTTTCCAGCTGAGCAACCCTGGGCCAAAAGGAAAGCCATACCTCAGCTATCGTTCAAGGAGCGCTTAGTAGGTGCCAGGCACTATGCTCATTAACCACTCATTAATTCTTAACAATTTCACAAGGTGGGTGATAATACCACCTTACAGATGAATCTTAGCGAACTTACCACTTACCTGTCCAATGCCACATGCTAGTAAAAGGAAGAGCTAGGATTTGAAACCAGATTGGAATCCCAAGCCCAGGCAGGTTCTTTATAAGTACACTGTACCACCCTATTATTATTGCAGCATCTGCTATTTCAACCTAAATAGTCCTGGAGGGGCTAAAAAAAATGGATTGGGGCTAAGAGCACACACTGCTCTTCCAGAAGACCCAGTTTAGTTCTCAGCACCCACACTGAATGGTTCACAAGCACTCATTACTCCAGTTCCAGTGGACCCAAGACCCTCTTCTGGCTCCCTGGACATAACACTCACATGCATACACTCTTACACATTAATAATAACACCACCACCAAAGAGGAGGGTAATGTATGCTGTATGCTGTGAATGCCACTGGTTAATAAAGAAGCTGTTTTGGGCCTGTGCAGGGCAGAATAGAGCTAGGCAGGGAAAACTAAACTGAATGCTGGAAGAAAGAAGGTGGAGTCAAGAGACACCATGTAGCCACCAGAGGGGAAAGATGCGAGCTGCCAGCTAGAACCTTCTGGTAGGCCATGAGCCTCATGGTAAAATATAAAATCGAAATGGGTTAACCAAAGATAAAAGAGCTAGCAAGCAATAGGCTTTAGGCTTAAGTGATTGGCCAAGCAGTGATCTAAATAATATAGTTTCTGAGGGGTTATTCAAGTCTGGGTAGCCGGGAACAAATGGGCAGCCTCCGCCAACAGGAGGGCACAAGTGTGCCAGCATGCCAAGACAGGAGGATCACTGAAGTCCAGGAGCTGGACAAGACAGGAGGATCACTGAGGTCCAGGAGCTGGACAAGACAGGAGGATCACTGAGGTCCAGGAGCTGGACAAGACAGGAGGATCACTGAAGTCCAGGAGCTGGACAAGACAGGAGGATCACTGAGGTCCAGGAGCTGGAGGCCAGCATGGAGAACACAGTGAGATCTTACCTCAGTCACTCAATAAGTCAGTGAGCAAGTCACCTGCTATGTATGCTTGTTAGAAGGACAGACCAAATATTATGTCAAACTTAATCTTTGATATATGAAGAGAATAATACCCTTGCTAATTTGATTTGAATGGTTATGAAGAATAAAGGCAGCCTGAGAAGGTGGCAAAGGGTCATGTATTTGTAGAATAATCATGGAAACCTGAATTTGACTCCCAGTACCCACTAAAAAGCCAGGTTAAGTGTCATGTGTCTGTAATCCCAGCAATAGGATGGCAGATACAGGAGATCACTGCCAGTCAGTCTGTCCAAACTGATGAGCTCCAGGTTCACTGAGTGACCCTATCTCAAATAGTAAGGTAAGAATAATGAGGAGCTGGAGAGATGGCTTGGTAGTTAAGAGTATTGGCTGCTCTTCAAGGGAACCTGAGCTAAATTCTCAGCACCCACATGGCAGCTCATAATTGTCTGTAACTCCAGTTCCAGGGGATCTAACACCCTCACACAAATGCACATAAGATAAATTTAAATAAATTATTAAAAAGAAGAATAATGAAAGATACTCAATGTTGACCTATGGTTTCCACACCCACTCACACACAAATGCACATACCCACACAAACATGTATACTTACCACATACACACAAATTCTTCAAATCCCTTAGGAGATTGTGCTTTGCTTGAACCACACTCTCTTGGCTTAAGAGCTTTCTTTTGTACTACTAATATAAATAAACTAACAGGAGCGCATATAGAGGAAGTAAAATACAGTCACAGAATAACAAAGTTGACCATGGGTCTAGACTGCAAGTTGAAGCTGCCCCTATTATCAGCTGAGTGTACTCACACAAAGGCCAACAAGCAAGCAGGCTCAAGTGGAAAGCTTGCTTGCAAATTTACCTAAGTAACCTGTGACCCAATGCCTTTATTTAGAAATGAAGGATTTTTACAGATTTTGAAGCTTTCTTATTTTTTCGCCCCAGACATGGTTTCTCTGGGTAGCCTTGGCTGTCCTGGAACTCATTCTGTAGACCAGGCTGGCCTTGAACTCACAGAGATCCGCCTGCCTCTGCTTCCCAAGTGCTGAGATGAATGGCCTGTGCCACCACAGCCTGGCTGACTTTGAAGCTTTCTACCCACAAAAACAGCTACAATGTTAAAAGGCTAAAGTCTAACTCCTAACACTGAAAAAGCAAAAGGCAGATGTGGTGGTGTGTGACTCTTACTCCAGCAGGTGATGAGGGCAGAAAGATCCCAAGTTTAAAGTGAGCCTGAGCCACACTGTGAGTTCAGTAAAGTTCTCTGCTGCACAGTATGAGAATCTCAGTTCAACCCTCAGAGTTCACACAAAAGCTGGGCATGGTGGCACAAGCCTATAATCCCAAATCTTGGGGGATAGACAAAGACCCCTGGAACTCAATGGCCAGCCAGTCTAGCTAAATCAGGGAGGTTTGGGTTCATTAAGAGACTCTGCCTCACAATAATAAGGTGGAAGCCAGTCAGTGGTGGTGGTGGCGCTCGCCTTTAATCCAAACACTTGGGAAGGAGAAGCAGGCGGATCTCTGTGAGATCGAGGCTAACCTGATCTACAGAGTGAGTTCCAGGACAGCCAGAGATATTACACAGAGAAACCCTGTCTCAAAAAACCAAAAAGAAAAAATGAAAAAAGAAAAACATAGAGAACAATCAAAGATACACAATGACAATCTCTGGCCTACACAAGTATACATGCACACACACACTCAAGTAGATGAATGAGGAGCTGGAGCGATAGCTCAGTGGTTAAGATCACTGACTGCTCATCAAGAAGACCCAAGTTTGATTCCCAGAACCTTAATGGCAACTCACAACCATTGTAACTTCAGTTTCAAAGCATCTGACATACCAGGCACAAAGCAGTTCACAGACATACAAGTAAAAAATAAACAAATAAAAATTTTCAAAATACATGAAATAATACAAATCCATCTATAAGAAAATATTTAATATGAGTTACTCAAGAGCCCCAAATGAGCCTTCTCCTATCTGTATGTTCCCTACTAGCATAGGAAATAAACTTTGAGAGAAAAATTTCTCAGGTGACTTTCGATCCCAGAAAGAGCCACTTCTGATAATTTATGAACAGCGGTTATTATACATGGAAAACAAGGCCAAAAAATAAAGGAGGAGGAGGAAAAGAAGAAGAAGAAGAAGAAGAAGAAGAAGAAGAAGAAGAAATAGAGAGCTTTATAAACAGAGCTACACATTTCAACTCCCTTTAGTTCTCCTGTGGAATAAATAGCTTCTTTAAAAGACAGTATCTTTGAGTAAAAGAGAGTATATTTCATGTATTGTTTGACCATCAAACTAGATTTCTGTGTTAAATCTGAACTAGAATTCTCTTAGGCTTACAGATGTAAAAGACTGAGTCCACCTCTTTCTAGATCTAGTTTGTTGTTTATTTAGTCACACAAGAAGGAAAGAGAAAATTACCTTTCTTGGATCCCACTCTGGAAGAGGCGCTGAAGAACTTCTTCACTGTGGTGACCTTCCGGGTCTTCTCATTGGTTTTCTTTTCCTCAAACTTGGAGAATGTGAGGGACTGGGCTCCTTGGCTGCTCTGGCTGCTAGCAAAGGCCTCTTCCTCCTCCCGCTGAAGCCTGAAATTCAGGAAGAGGATTGTGAATGATTGGAGTCTCCTCTCCAAGCTTTCCCAGGGTCTAAGGAGATCCTGTTTAAATGACTGAAGAGGAGCTGAAGACTTCATAAACAGGAGCTAAATATACCAGGTGGGTCTGAGCCATTGAGCACACAGCTGTAAGATGAAATTATATAGCTGCTGAAGATCCGATGTATGGGTTTAACACCCAGCACCTCAAATAAATAAATAATAATAATAAACCAGGTTTTACACTTTTAATCTCTACATTTGGGAGGCTAAGGCAAGATTGCTGAGTTTGAGGTCAGCCTGGGTTATAGACTAGGACCCTGTCTCAAATTTTCATATTAAGAAACAGAGCTATAGTTGGGCAGTAGCGGTGTACACCTTTAATCCCAGCACTTGGGAGGCAGAGGCAGGTAGAGATCTAAGTTCCAGTCCAGCGTGGCCTACAAAGTGAGTTCCAGAACAGTCAGGACTACACAGAAAAACTCAGTCTTAAAAAAAAAAAGAAAAAGAAAAAGAAGGAGGAGGAGGAGGAGGAGGAGGAGGAGGAAAAAAAGAAAGAAAGAAAGAAACAGGGCTAAAGGAGGCTGCTAAGATCAATGTAGGAGCTGGACAGGTGGCTCAGTGTCCAAAAGTACTTGTTGCTTGTGTAGAGGATCTGGGTTTGGTTTCCAGCACCCACATGGCAGCTCACAACCTCCTATAACTCCAGCTCTAGAGAATCTGACATCCTCTTCTGGTCTCCTCAGACACTGGACACATGTAGTATATTTACATACATGCAAGCATCCACATACATAAAAATAAATCTAAAAAATATAGAAAGAAATGTAATTTTAAAAATGTATGGCTTAGGATGGCACTCAGTTGACGACTGCTGGCCCAACACTCACAGAGTTCTGCGCTCGTCCCCTCACTGCCTACACGGTGGCACACGCTTGGGGGGTAAAGTCCAGGGTCATCCTTGACACAGTAAGTTTGAGGTCAGCTTGGGAGACAAGAAAGAGCCTGCCTCAAAACATCGGCCAACAAGGTAGTTCAGTAGGTCAGATAAAAAGGCTCGTGCCACCAACCCTGATGACCTGAATTCAATCCCCAAAACTCATAAAGCAGAAAGAGAGAACCTCTGACCTCTATATATGGAGACAACCCCTCTCACAAAACTAGACAGACACACAGGTAGATAATTTTTAAATTATAAAGATTATGAAACGTGGGCTGGAGAGATGGCTCAGTGGTTAAGAGCACTGACTGCTCTTCCAAAGGTCCTGAGTTCAATTCCCAGCAACCACATGGTGGCTCACAACCACCTGTGTTGTGAGGTCTGGTGCCCTCTTCTGGCCTTCAGGCATACAAACAAACAGAATATTGTATACATAATAAGTAAATAAATAAATATTTTTTTAAAAAAAGATTATGAAATGTATGTATGTTATGGAGTTGGAGCGATGTCTCAGCAGTTAAGAGCACATACTGGCTTGCAGAGGACCTGAGTACAATTCCTAGCACCCACATCTAGCAACTCACAGGGAATCTGATGGCCCTGGCCTCCTCAGGCGCTTGCTCTCACATGCAAATACACAGAAACACAATACACATATGCACATTAATTAAAAATAAAAATAAGTTATCTCTGTGTGTGTATACATTGCATATATACGTGTGTCTGTACATATACACATATGCATAAATGTATATATGTAATATATATTATTTAAAAGATAAAAGCAGGCTGGAAAGATGACTCAGAAGTTAAGAACACTTGCTGCTCTTGCAGAAGACCCAAATTCAGTTCCCAGAGCCCATGTCAGGAAACTCACATTCACCTGTAACTCCAGCTTCAGGGAATCTGACTACTGCTTCTGGCTTCTGCAGGTCCCCATACACATGTCATACACTCACAAATAAAAACTGAATCCATCAGTGGTGTTGGACAATAGGAGAGACAGCTCAGTTGTTTAGAGTACTTTTTCTTTCAGAGAACCTAAATTCAATTCACAGCACCCCACATGGTGGCTCACAAACATCTGTAACTCCAGTTCCAGGGGAATCAAATGACCTTTTCTGAATTCCATAGGCACCAGGCACACATACATACATGTAAGCAAAACTTTATATTAATAAAACAATAAATCTTTTTTTTAAAAAAGCTTTCATGGTTGGGCAGTGGTAGCACACACCTTTAATCCCAGCACTCAGGAGGCAGAGGCAGGCGGATCTCTGTGAATTCGAGGCCAGCCTGGTCTACAAAGCAGATGCCAGGACAGCCAGGACTGTTATACAGAAAAACCCTGTCTAGGAAAATCACAATAAATGAAGGAATGGAGGGAGGGAGGGAGGGAGGGAGGGACCTTTCATAAACAAAGAAGGAAATGGTCTTGCTGTGATGGATGTAGCTCAGAGGTAGAGTACATGCCCAGCAAGCATGAGGTTCAGTAATCAGCATTGAAAATTAGGGATGGGATGATGTAGCTCTTTTCCCTAATTGAGAGGGACACTTTCTAGAGCAGAGTGTTAAGCAAGTGCTCTTGGAACACAGGATGGAAAAACTCCACCAGAGGAGAGGTCTAAGGGTCTACAGTGGTAACACTAGGGGCAGGTCTACAAGATGACTAGGAGTCTACTAAGCGAAAGGACAGTTTTCAACAGGAAATTATAGACATAAAGTGTGGCTTCTAGTCAGGCATAGTGGCTTACACTTGTAGCCCCAGCACTTGGAAGGCAGAGACAGGAGGATCATTGATGATGAGATTGACTGTGTGCTGGATATAATGGTCTCCAGATGATGAGGAACTCTGACTGCAAACCAACTATCATTCGGGAATTCATTGTGGGGCAAAGAACCCATAAAGATTATTATTTTTTTTTTACTTAAATAAAAATGTTTTATTTTTGACTTCTCTTGCTTGCATACAATGGGGAATATTTTCTTCTGTGGATGTAATTTAAAGGATTCTCTCAGGACTCAGGAAATACAGTCTTTATATCCATTTAGAGAGTGGCAACTTGCTGTTTCCTAAATAAATTCAGTTCATTTTGAGTGATCAGGACATGTTCTCCTGCCTTCTGCCCCTGCTTGTATCACGGAGTGTCCAGGAATCACTACTTGCCTTGTTCATCTGCTTCAGTGAAGCAAACCCATAAAGATTATAAACCCAAGAAGTTACCCTGTTAATAGCTATACTTTTGCACTAATGCAAGTAGCTATATAAAATTTAAGAGGCTAGAGATGGCTCCACAGTTAAGATCACAGGCCATAATTCTCTGAGTTCACCCACCACAGACGAGAACGTGAACAGAGCAGTTATACAACAAATATTAAGTGACTAGACAAGGAAAAGCAGCAAAAGCTAGCGTTTGGTTTGACCATATTACCAGTCTACAGGATGTCATGGCAAAGGGTAGGCTTTCCTCCTGGCATTTTCCAAGCCCCTGAACACACCAGCACCATCCCTGGCTGTCCTGAACTTGCTCTGTAGACCAGGTCAGCCTTGAACTCACAAAGATCCACCTGCCTCCCAAGTGCTGGGATTAAAGGCATGCACCACTATCGCCTGGCACCCACTGCACTGTTTTACAAAACCTATGTGGAGGATGACTGAATTACAAGTTACAGACCATTTAGTTTGTTTTGCTTTTTTTCCCTAATGATTTATTTATTATGTGTACAATGTTCTGCCTCCATGTGTCCCTGTAGGCCAGAAGAGAGCACCAGATCTCATTACAGATGGTTGTGAGCCACCATATGGTTCTTGGGAACTGAACTCAAGACCTTTGGAAGAGCAGCTAGTGCTCTTAACCTCTGAGCCATCTCTCCAGCCCCTTACCAGCACTTCTATCTTTTAATCTTTGTCATACTTGTGTTTAGAGATGACACAGCTACTTCAGAGTAATCTGGTTTCACAAGAAAAATCAAATGGTCACAATTTCAGGACCATGTACATAAACTAACTAGTACTGACTACTGTGGGTAAGTCAGAAGAATGAGGAAAGCAATTCTTGAGAGCCACCTGCCGAGCCCTGGAGGCAGCATATCACTCATCTTCACCACAAAGGATGCTTGCCTTCATAAGAGGTAAGAATAGCACACTCAAATGGAAAATCAACAAACACAAAATGGAGAATCCACTAAAAGAGATTTAGTAAGTGTTGACCAGAGAGCAGAAAGAATCTTCTCTTGATGATGAGCTGACCTGCTGATAGCTCTTGACAGAAGAAAAGCATGGCTAAGCAATGACAGGACCTTGTACCTGGTTATGTCACTGGTAGCCATACCCACCTCCAGCCAGCCAGTGAGGTCCTTTTACCTTTCTGCCAGTTCCCAGTCCTCTTGGATCTGCTTCTGCCGGGCCTTGTGGTACTCCTCTCTCCAGCACTTGGAGCAGAAACCCTGCCAGGCAGGGTTCCCATAGTAACCACATCCTTTCTTACACAAGAGCTCAGATTGATCCACATGAATTCCCCGGCGTTCAGACTTTAGGCTCATCTTCTTCCTGATAAAAAGAAGTGAGAAAGAATGGAAATTAACTCGTATCATATTACTAAAATACAACACTCATGTAGAAAAATTCAAGTGAGTCAAGATCTTCAAGCCATAGGGGAGAAAGGAAGAAGAGAGGAAAGGAAGACAGTGTGCAAAGCCCAAAGTATAACATAGAAAGTTCAAGCAGAATCATACTAAAGAAAGACTTTAATCTGATGGCCTGAAAAACACAGTGCACCTCAAGAGACCCAGTCACTGAGCCGCTGCCGAGGACTCAGCTGCCTCCCCCTCGAGTCCCCTCGCTTCCCTACGGTTCCCCCCCCCCCCCGTCCCCCCGTCCCCCTTGTCCTTCTGCAGGCCGTTTCCACCGAGGAAAAGGAACAGTATCGTATCAGAACCTCCACTCTTTCAACCCCTTTGCTGATGCAAGTAAGGATGATGACCTGCTTCCTGCTGGCACTGAGCATTATATCCATGTAAGAATTCAACAGAGAAACGGCAGGAAGACCCTTACCACTGTCCAAGGGATCGCTGATGATTACGATAAAAAGAAACTAGTGAAGGCGTTTAAGAAGAAATTTGCCTGCAATGGTACTGTAATTGAGCATCCAGAACATGGAGAAGTAATTCAGCTACAGGGTGACCAGTGCAAGAACATATGTCAGTTCCTAATAGAGATTGGACTGGCTAAGGATGATCAGATGAAGATTTCATGGGTTTTAAGTGCTTGGACTCTAAAGCTTAAGAGAGGATTTCCTTGCAATGAGTAGAATTTCCCTCCCATCCCTTGTCACAAGTTTAAAAACCTCACAGCTTGTATAATGTAACCATTTGGGGTCCACTTTTAACTTGGACTATCGTAACTCCTTCATGCAATAAACTGAAAAGAGCTAAAAAGAGAGAGAGAGACTAATACTGGATTAAAGACCTAAGCATAAAGTTTTAAACTCCTAGAGGAAAAGCTGGCAAGGACTTCGTCAATAACCAAAGCACAGGTAATAGAAGCAACAAAAACAGACTAATAGGATGACAGCAAACTTGAAAACATCTGCACAGCAAACAAAGCAATCAGCAGAGTAAAGGGGCAGCCTACAGAATGAGAGAAGACATTTTTAACCTCTACAAAAAAAGGTAAAACCCAGAACATTGACAACCCAACAAGATAGACAAAGAAGTAGAATAGGCAACTCTCCAGAAGAGAAATAAAAATGGCCAACAGAGAGCAAGATCTTGTAACAAAAGAGCACATCATCTTCATCATCATCATAGTCTGAAAAGATGACCCAGCAGCTAAAGATTCCCGCCACCATGACTGATTACCTGAGTTTGATCCCTGGGACCTACATAGGAGATGGAGAGACAACTCCCGAAAGCTGTCTACTGGCCTCCTCACATGTGCTGTGGCACACACTTACACATAAACAAAATTAATAAAACATACTTTGTATAATGGCCAACATCATTTCACATTAGTAGGAAAGCCCCCTTAAACACACACACACACACACACACACACACACACACACACACACACACAAATTGGAGGTGTTGTTGATAGGAATATAAAGAAATCAGAACCCTTCTGTACTCTTAGTAGGAATGTAAAGAGGTGTAGGCACCAAAGACAACCTGCCCATTTTATATAACCTGTTTTCCCAACTATAAGGCTGGGAATTGGAGGTGATTAACAACCTAGTAATCTGTGTTATCTGTAGGGCCAGGTCATATCAAGCTCCCACAACCAGGACCAAAGGTAGGTAATAGTCTAAATGGCCCATATATATATCACACACACATATAGCCTAGGGCCTCCCCAAGCTCCCACAATCAGGACCAGAGACGGCTAACAGCCCAAACGACCTGTATGACTGAGACATACCAGATCCTTCCCTAGGCCCTTAAGCTAGCACAGGTAGCCTATCTCTAGAACCCATCTTCTAGGAAAAAGTAACATGCACTTTGAGTTGAGTTCCCAAACTGTACTGTTACTTGTTTTTATATGCTGGCAATAAATCACCTGGTACCAGATTCCCAAAGTTTGATCTAGCCTGGCTGAGTAAGTCGGGCTAAACTGAGTTGTCATTTTCATCTTTTTGAGGTTTGTTTCCCTACCTGCCATGACAATTACAAGGGCCCCCACAAGACTTTATCTTAAAAAAATAAAATTAAAAAGCCAGGTATAGTGGATAGGCCTGTAATCCCAGTACTAGGGAGGGATAGGCAGGCAAATCTCTTGAGTTTGAGGCCACTCTGGTCTACACAGAAAATTCTAAGACAGCTATGGCAACAGAGACCTTGTCTCAAAATCAAAAAAAAAAAAAAATTTAGTACATGGGTTGGCAGGATGGCTCCATGGGTAAGGGGCTCACATGGTAGAAGACACAATTCCTTAAAGTTGTCCTCTGGCCTCCACAAACAGTGGCATGTGCCCGACCCAACCCTACACATAGACTATTAAGTAAATGAATGAATAAAAGTAAATAAATAATTTTTAAATGTTAAAAAGAAATGTAAAGAGAGGGTTAAGGATCTACCTCAACAGTAGAGTACTTGCCTAGGGTGTGGGAGGTTGTGTTCAATCCACAGTACTAGAAGAACACAAAAGTATATAAACTACTAAAAACAAGTAACAGGGAAGGTGTTCATACCCAGACAAGATTACAACTTTTTTCTACTATAATATCTGCACCTGCTTGTCCAAACTCACACATCTGCACAAAAATTTCGGTAGGATCACTGTTTTCCATACTAATTAATCATGCTTATGCCTCAGCTGAGAAATTTTTTTAAATTTTTGAGCAGAGTAAAGGCAGATTTATTAAGAATATATGAAGGAAAATGATGAGTGAGAGAGGCATCAAGGGAAGAATAACCTAGAACCATTGGCTATACTTTTGCTTTGTCAAAGCTCTATCTATTCTAAGGATACACTGTTTCTACTGCTCCCTTTCCATAGTGAATAAGCTTTTCTTTCAGCACAAACTGAGGGCTTCAGAAGGATAGGAAAGTATCTCCATGTGGCAGGAGAGGGGGCTCAGGAGTTAAGAGCACCTGGCTGCTCTTCCAGAGGACCTGGGTTACACTCCCAGCACCCACACGGCAGCTCTCCATGGTTACCAGGTACACATGTGGTGCACAGACATACACGCAAGCAAACCACCAATACACATAAGAACTTTTTTTTCTTTTGAGACAGGGTATAACAGCCGTAGCTGTCCGGGAACTTGCTTTGTAGACTAGGCTGGCCTTGAACTCACAGAGAACCATCTGCCTCTGCCTCCCAAGTGCTAGGACTAAAGGCATGTGCCACCACCACTCAGCTCACATAAGAACTTTTTAAGGAAAGATATTTGCCTAATAAATTAAAAAAATGATTAAACATATTGACAGCCACATAACATCAGAGCCACCTCCAAGGAGAAGCAGTGTAGGCAGGGACATCATGGCTCGGTTGGTACATAGTTAGCTGCCTACCAAAGGAGCCATGTAAAGCATCTGCTCGCAAGAGTACACCCTCTCTGCAGGGGTGAGGAAGCCCTGCTACTGTGGCTCTCTCTGACACAAGTCCACTGATCTGATTCTCAAACACTCCTTAGAGTTCAGATCAGTGCTTCTAGAAAGCAGCTATTGGTGCTCTTCTGGAGGGAGATGACCTGATTGGCATATTTTTAAATGTATGTGCTATTGCCCCCAAACATGTGACAATTACTATAGCATCACTATAGGGTGGGCATGATGGTTCAGCAAAAACCTGATGACCTGAGTTCAATACTAGTAAACCACATAAAAATGGAAGGAATTGGAGCTGGAGAGATGGCTCAGTGGTTAAGAGCATTCCCTGCTCTTCCAAAGGTCTTGAGTTCAATTCCCAGCAACCACATGGTGGCTCACAACCATCTGTAATGAGGTCTAGTGCCCTCTTCTGGCTTTCAGGCATACACACAGACAGAATATTGTATACATAATAAATAAATAAATATTTAAAAAAAAATGGAAGGAATTATTAACCAATTCTCCACGCTGTTCTCTGAACTCCACAAGCATGATGGAGTTCAGTCACACACACACATGCACACACTAATAATAATAAACCTTCAAGTCACTGACGGAGAATGTGTCACTCCATCACTGTAACCAAACAGATGATAATAAACAACTTAAAAGGACAGGTAGGTTTGTTTGTTCATCCATCCGACAGGGTCTTACTATGTAGCTTAGGCAGCATCGCACCTGCTATGCTGCCAAGGATGACCTTTAACTTCTGAAGGAACAAGAGTATTCAAACTCTACTAAAAACCAGCAACAGAGAAGGGGTTCACGCCCAGGTAAGATTACATTTTTCTACTATACTATCTATCCGAAACTGCTTGTCCAAATTCACCTATCTGCACGCATTTTTTTTTTTAAAGCAGAGAATCTGGCTCAATAGTTAAGAATGTTTACTGCTTTTACAGAGGCCCAAGTTAGGTTCCCAGCATCCATGTTGGACAGTTCAGAACTGCCCATAACTCCAATTCCAGGGGATCTGATACCCTTTTGTTAGCCTCAGCGGGAATCTGTACTCACATGGGTGCATGTAAGAATGTATGTGTGCATGCACGCGCGCGCACACACACACAAACACACACAGTACCCATATCAAGGAGTTTAAAACTGCCTGGAACCCTGACCCCAGGGGTACAAAGAACTCATGTGAAGGTCACCCAGACATGCAGAAGATAAAAATAACAACAATAAAACAAATAATTTTAAAAAGTTTTTCCTTGGGGCTGGAGAGATGGCTCAGTGGTTAAGAGCATTGCCTGCTCTTCCAAAGTTCCTGAGTTCAATTCCCGGCAACCACATGGTGGCTCACAACCATCTGTAATGAGGTCTGGTGCCCTCTTCTGGCCTGCAGACATACACACAGACAAATATTGTATACATAATAAATAAATAAATATTTAAAAAAAAAGTTTTTCCTTTTACTATTACCAGTAATTGTGAATGTTAGCTATTTTCCCCAAATGGTTCAAAAGGTAGTTCAGCACAAAGTCAGAAGTAGAAAAAACAAGGGCAGAGATCAGGTACTAGCAGTGCTTCCACATTCATTGTGTAAATTCTTAACATAAACTCAGGAATATAAACCATCTAAACTAGGGGCTGGAGAGATGGCTCAGAGGTTAAGAGCACTGGCTGCTCTTCCAGAGGTCCTGAGTTCAATTCCCAGCAACCACATGGTGGCTCACAACCATCTGTACTGAGATCTGGCGCCCTCCTCTGGCGGCAGGCATACATCGAGGCAGAATGTTGTATACATAATAAATAAATAAATAAATAAATAAATAAATAAATCTTAAAAAAAAATAAACCATCTAAACTAATCAGAATGTTTCGGGTACCAGTTTCAGCAGCTCAACTCTGAAGTGATCTTAGCTACGACCTCTGGGAGGTGTCAAGAGCTCAAGGTCAGCCTAGGCTACATAGAAAGACCCTGTCTGAAAGAATGAATGAACAAACCTAACCTTTACTTCTTGTAAATTCTTTTTTTTTTTTTTTGGTTTTTCGAGACAGGGTTTCTCTGTGGCTTTAGAGCCTGTCCTGGAACTAGCTCTTGTAGACCAGGCTGGCCTCGAACTCACAGAGGTTTACCTGCCTCTGCCTCCTGAGTGCTGGGATTAAAGGCGTGTGCCACCACTGCCCAGCCTTCTTGTAAGTTCTTATCTCATGTGTTTGGTTAAAATGGCGGGATACTTATAGCACAATGAAGACAATATTCAAAAACAACTGT